TTCGGATCTTCTGTCAAGGCTGAAATGTCCTGACAAAGACCCAACTCGGAGTGGCCAAGATGCAGAATGCAGAGCAGAGACGGATGTCGGATGGTGTGGAAGCAGCGAAGGGACCAGGCGGAACTCGGAGACCGTCGTGATGTGGCCGCACATTTATCTAAGGGTAAGTCTCGAGGTGATTCAGGCACATGCCGGTCCCGGCTCACCCATGGCGGCTGAACTTGTAATGCAGGAAAGGTAGTGTGAATTCTCACCCCACTGCCTCGGCCTGACTCGAGTGAAATTAACTCGAGTCCTCGCAGACTGACCTGCCCCCACCTCCAGCCCTCACGATACCCAATGTCGGAACAGAAATGCTTCTGCTGCTGAGCACAGTGGGCAAGGAGGCCCTGCCAGGTGCCCCCCTCCTCAGCCCACTTCATCCCCATGGCGCCTCCTGAGCAGACACTTGTCCCCACTCGATAGAGGAGGCGGGAAGGTGGCAGAGCTGGGTTTGGATGGAGCTGACTCCATCTATGCTCAGATCCCCTCCTGGGAGAGCTTAGGGGAACATATACATTTAATTTTATTTTATAATTTTTAAGGTATCTTACTGTTGGCCTCTGTATTGGTATCTGGGCTGGGGACAGCAGCACCCAGGTGCAGGCCCAGAGAAAGCCTTCCCAGAGGCGGTGACTCTGGGCAGGTAGGAGGCAAGGTGGTGACCTCCAATCTGAGTTAGAGGCTTTTCCTTCATCATTGGGAATTTCTGCTGTGTAACAGGGTGAAACCAAGCAAACAGATCCTTTCTGGTCTGTGAAAACCATTTGTCTTTGGTTCCACAGTATTATTTTTCACTGACTTGTTTTTATTTATCCTGCCTGGGCTCCATAGGGCTTCTTGAGTCTGTGGCTTGATGTCCAACTGAATCAATTTTGGAAATATCTCCATCATTCATTATATCTTTAAATATAGTTTTTGTCATTCTCGCTTCTTTTCTGAGGACGCAGACATCCCATATGTTGGAACTTCTCATGTTCTAGTCTCTCTTCCTGCCTTGGTCTCGACTGCCCTGAAAGCAGAGCCTGAGATAAAGGCTTGTATGCAGCCCTCCCTGTTCTTACTTAGGAATGTGATTCCAGGAACAAGTGTGAGGGATGGGTGTGAAACAGGGAAGGAGGGTAACTAACACCTTGGCAACCGCTGCTGACCTGGCAGGACTCACGAGGAATCCTATACATGTGTCTTGGAACTGGCTGGCCTCTCAACTTCCTCCTCTGGACCTGCGAATGCACTCGGCGAAAAAGTGGCTCCCGACCCTGGGCTCATCTTCCTGGGCCTCTCTCTGTCCTTTCTGTTACCTGATCACCACGCTGGGCTTGCCAGTGTCTTCACACAGATGTTTCAAATATTTCGTTCATCATTGTCCTCACTGCCAGCGTGAGTCTCAGTTATCTAATCTGCCATCACGCGAACAGAAAGTCATGCATAGTGTTCCTTAAATGTGAAAGGTTCTGAATTCCAACATCCACTTCACCCAAGCATTTCCCATAAGTTACTGAGGCCCCTTACATATTACTTTGTACTTGTTTGTTCCCTCCCAATATAATGCAAATATCTCCCCATCTTATTCCTTGTATTGATTGCATATGGCAAACCACGGAATTTGAGCATTTATTTAACCATTATTAGTGGACACCTGAGATGATTCCAATTTGTCTACATTAGAAACAAGACTGAAATGGACATCCATGCCCATCTTTGCACCATGGGATCAAAAGGAATGCTCGACCCCTGCAATGGCGTGAATGTTCGCCCCCCTCCCCTCCTATTCACATGTTGAAATCCTATCTTTCAAGGTGATGGTGTCAGGGTGTGGTGTCTTTGGGAGGTTGGGGCCTGGGAATCTGGGCTTTCAACAATTCCCAGGTGTTTTGCACAGTTGGCCAGGCCCTGGTCCAGTTTCGGGGATCACTGATCAAGCCCAACACTAAATGCATTTCCTTCTATTTCAATTTAAGAAAGTGATCTGGACAAAGACAGCTTTCAAACTAGGCAACAGCTTGCTTTCAGACATTTTTGGGGATGAAATATAACAAACATATATAGAAAGGTATACAAAACATAAATGTACAGCTTAACAAATTGACATAAACAAACACCCAGGTAACTCCCGTCAAGGTCATGATAGGAAACTGCCTGCGTGCGGGAAGCCACCCAGCCCATTCCTCATCATAATCTGTGTTTCCACTGACAAGTCACAGCCCCTCAGGTTCCAAGCCCTCAGGGACATGCCTGAGTCCCCCCAGCCCCTCGTGGTGCAGAGCTGCCTCTCTCATGTTTCCTGCAGACAGTCTCTGAGGCTTCCAAAGCAAGGTGGTGGTGGGGTGATTCTCTTGGTCTCCAATCTTAGGGACACTGGACTCAGACCCCTGTCCCCCCCAAACTGGAATGCTGTATATATATCTCTATTTCTTATTTCTTCTCTAAGCAGTGATACTCGACTTTGGCTTTTAAAAGTGTCTGGGGAGGGACTTCCCTGGTAGTAAAGAATCCGCCTTCTAGTGCAGGGGAAGAAGGTTCAATGCCTGGTCAGGGAACTAAGATCCCACATGCCGCGGGGCCACTAAGCCCGCGTGCCTCAACTAGCAAGCCCGCGTGCTCTGTAGTCCGTGCACCACAACTAGAGAAGCCCGCGCGCCTCAGTGAAAGATCTCACATGCCGCAATGAAGATCCTGAGCGCTGCAACTAAGACCCAATGCAGCCAAAAAAAAAAAGAAAAAGTGTCTGGGGACCCTTTAAAACTACCCATGCCCAAGCCACACCCCAGACCGATTACATTGGAATTTCTCGGATGGGACTGAGGCATCAGGATATTTCAAAGCTTCCTGGATGATTCTAATGTGCAGCTAAAGTTGAGAACCCCTGTCTTAAAGAGTGATAGCATCCTGGGGCAACACGAATCACAGTGACCAGCTGGGGCACTTGCCACTGCTGCCTGGCAAACGTGTTTATTTTCACCCTCATGTCATGCCTTTCAGTCCAGTTGCCGACACTGTGAAGGCCTCAGGACTCTGATTATGGCGTCTAACCCCTGGGACAGTCCTCCTGGCACAGGTGACTTAAAAACAAGTGACTGGGAAGCAGCACCGCTGGCACAGGCTCAGGGTGAGGGGAGTGGGTTCTGGCTGGTCTAACCCATGGGACACTTGATAAGGCCTGGAAACATTACTGATTATCATGACTAGGTGGGATGCTGCTGGCATCTAGTGGGTGGAGGCCAGGGATGCTGCTAAACATCCTACAGTGCACAGGACATCTCCCCCCTCTCCCTTCCCTCCAAGGAATTATCTGGCCCAAACTGTCAACACCACTGAGGTTGAGGGACCTGATCTAACCAATCAGAGTGGTCCCACCCCCCTGCCAGGAACGGGGTGTTAGCTATGCTGGAGGGTGGGTGGGGGGACTGAGAAGAAACCACAGCTGGCAAAGTGGGCCTGACCATGACACCCAAACAGAAAAACAGGACTAAACCATGCCGTGCAACACACGTGACTCAGCTCATGCAGAGTACGTGCTCCAAGACAAAACCACTGACCCCTCCAGTATCTCTCCTGATTACAAATTCTGATCCATCCTTGCCAAGACCATCTACGGCCAACTACAGCCCCACACCCCTTGAGGACCCTTCCATAACACCCCTGTTTTGAGGAGACTCACGTGTCCTCTGGTGCATTCCTTTGCTGCAGCAAGTTGAATAAACCTAACCTTTTATTATTTTCTTGTACAGCCATGTTCCTGGCTGTTTTCAGTTGGCATGGAACACAAATAACTCCAGTGAAAGTGCCTTAGACACAAGGAAGATGTCCTGCTTGTGAAATTAGGGGAAGGATTTTCAGCAAATGAAGTGGGTCTTGAGTGATAAAACCGGTCTGACCAAGTGGAGGTGAAGGAACAATAAGGACCAAGGCAGGGAGGCACAGAATTAGAAATAGCAAGCAATCCTGAGTGTGTGAAACACAGGATTCGGGGTAGGGACACTCCAGACAGGCAGGAAGGGGCCGATCATGCAGCGCTGTTAAAACCATCCCTGGCAGAGCAGCTGTACAGGCTGCATCTCTCGGGGAATGAAGTAAGATGCTGCCAAGGGCTGAACTATAATCCGGGACCCTGCCGACCTGAATTCACACAAGGAATCTTCATTCCCCTACGCTGGGTCTTCCGAGATTTTCTTGGGGACAGTTGGGTGGGAGCCCGGTGCCCTCCCCTCGAGCACCCAGAAAGGCCGTGGCACACTGGCCTGGGGACCTCCTTGTCTAGTAGCAAGAAAATCGATTCTCAGGGTTTCATTTTTGAGCGGCCTTTTCTGGAGACGCTGAACAGTAACAGGAGCCGGTTTCCTCTGCGGGGAAAGCCTCCTCCCAGTGTCTTCCCCAATCCCATACAACTTCAGCTCCGTCATCTGCCGGACGCCGTCACGAGCCCGCTGGTCTCCTTCGGCAAAATTCCTCATTAAAACCCCAAAGTGTCTCACGACGACTGGCTAGAGTCGGCTCTTCCGGGAGGAGATCGCGCGGGTCCGTCGGCGGGCGCGGCCCTCGGCTTGTCCGCCGCTCCTGGCGACAGCTCCGTCCACACGCTTACAAACCGCCGAACGTCGCTATGACCGACACAATGGCGAACACAGCCGGCTGCCCTTTTCCGGCGCGTTTTCCCCTTAACCCCATCGGTTAGGAAACGGCCACGGGATTCTTGGTGGGCCCCGCCTCGAGGTCAGAACGGACGTGAAAGGAGGGGACGGCGGGCTAGGACGCGGCGATGCAGACGCCGGAAGCCGCCGCCGGGGCGGCGCGCTGGCTCGAACTCGCTGGGAAGCGCCTTGCAGCAACTCCCGCCCCGGCGGCCGGAAGGGGCGGGGCCCAAGTCACTTCCGCGGACGGCCGAGGAGGGAGGCGGGGCCTGTTCGTCACTTCCGCGCGCCGGGCCGTAGGCAGGGGGAACGGGGCTCAGGCAGCAGGCGCACGGGCGCCATGAGCGAGGCGGATGGGCTGCGCCAGCGCCGGCCAGTGCGGCCGCAGGTCGTCACGGACGATGCCCGGGTCCCGGAGGCCAAGGGCGGCAGGTAGGCCGGGCCCGGAGCGGGACCGTGACCCTGAGGCCGTGATAGCGGCGAGCGCCTCGTTTAGTCCCCAGGGGCCTCGCTTCACGGGAGGAAGCGGGCTCTCGCCGCGCGGTGCACCTGCGGCCCTTCGGTCATTGCCCGGCTCCCGGACCCCCCATTCCCCCGGCCCTGCCGCACTTTCCCGTGGGGACGTCTGCGGAGCAGCCCGGGGCGCGCGGAGAGGGCCTCCGCACCTGCCTTCTTGCCGCGCCTTCAGGAAGAACGTTGTTGGGCAGTTTTTGTGAGGGTCCAGGCTTGCACATTTTCCTGGTAGGGACGGAGATGCATAGGGACCTTCCGGAATTTAAATATACTTTGCTTTGTTAGCTAAAAACTGAAGCATAAGCCTATAAAATTCTTAAAATTCTCCTCTTAACTTTATGCCCTGAGTGTCCTAACTTTGGATTTTTAGGAAGAACCAAGAGGCCCCACACAGACCAAGCTCAGAGTGTGGAACTGATTGACTTATATGTTGATAGAAATATTGGGAATATTTCTTGGAGTGCCAGCGGGTGTGGTACATACTGAATGCGGGACAGCTTTTGCCGAGAGAGACCGAATTTATTCCCTGATGATAATGAGGGGAACACATTTGAAGGAGAGACATAGCAGAGAGGAGCGTTTGTGCTCTAGAAAGGAGATTCATGGAGAGTTTTCAATAATATGTCTGGGGCCAGTGGAAAGGTTGGATATATGTTTCGTATATAGTCCTCACTGTAGGGTGATCAGCTATCCTGGTTTGCCCTGGACTTTAGGACGTGGGATTCTAAGTGCTGACCCTGGGCAAACCAGGACAGGTTGGACACCTTTTTGACTGTGGGTGTTGTGAAATCATCTGGTGATGACTTAGGAGCCTTTAGAGCACACATGATCGGACTGGCAGTGCTGTGCTCCAGAAACTGTGCCAACACCGAGTCTCTACACACTCATGCCCAGGAGACCAGGAAGCAGCCAGCCTCGGTCTGTCTGGAGGTGCAGGGCATAGAGTGCCCGAGGGCACTCATTCGATGGGCCCAACTCTCAGCTGGGCTCCCCCAGGCACTCCAGGCCCCAGGGCAGGGGGCAGAGTTAATTCAACTGTTTTTCAGTTTCTCTGGGGGTTTCTTCCTTAATGGTAGGGTTAATTGAATGTGTTCCAAAGTCCTCACCTGTTGCTGGTCTTTCCCTGGGTGCCTTTTGCACTGTGTTGATTTAAGACATTTTCTTGGCTTTCCTGTGTTTCCCTCTTTCTCTTCTTTGCTCTTCTGTGTCTTTGTAACAGTCTCTTTCCTGTCACCCACCTTCTTTCGTATGTGTATATTGTAATTTTTCAGTTTTTTCTTATTTTTATCATGCAGTTCTTCTCTGTTTTTCACTTCTTTTGTGGTGGTTTCTAGGAGTTCATCTGATTGTCATCTTGGATTACCTTAAAAGTTGAGGGTTCACCCTAAGACGGGAAAGCGTTGTGTATAATGGGTGAAGTAAAGGAATCTGAAGGAAGTAGAAACGTGATGATGATAGAGTAAACTTTCGATGTGCTGAACAGAATAAAGGAAGCCTTGAAGGACATACTGTTCAGTTAACAGAAGCAGGACAGTAGATTTCGGTGGACAGGACACTGAACAATACCTTGCTCAGTCTCCTGACTCTTCGCATGAAAGGTCGCATTAGCTCTGTTTTCCTGGTGAGGTTGTTGAGGTCTCTGTGAGTGACGTGGTTTATGTAAAGTTACAGAGGAATGGAGTCACAAGTGACATGAAAACGAATGAAGGACAGAATTGGCCGCTGGACAGTGAGAAGCATTGAGAAGAGTTGTGTGTGACTCTCAGGTTCCAGGTATACTTGGCACCTTGGGTTCCAGTCTCCCCTGGATTTGGGCCTAACAGGGTTTCCATAAAAATCACAGGTCTTTTTTGATCTCACTGAGTCTGTTGGTCAGGACTTCTGTCCGCGACTCAAGGCCCTGATGTCCTGTGTGCAGAAGTGGTTAGAGAATGCCCTCTGCCGCATTTGGCTGGTGCCGCAACAGGATTTTGTAAGTCGTGGCTGAGCCGATGGTAGTTGTCAAATCCTGTTGCGTCACTGTGATCACTCTCTTGCCTTAGAGACTGTAGGAAATTTCAGGGTGCAGGTGTAGAGGTTGGGGCAAACAAGTTGATTTCCCAGATGGCACCTGGGAGGGAAGTTGCTGACCTTCTAGGACGTGTCAGCCCAGATTGGGAAGGAGAGTAGGACGGGCACGTGCAGCACTTTGTCGGTGAAAACGGTACAGATGAATGGAGGGTCCTTTATTTGAGTGGATGCAGGGCAGGTGTGCGGTGGGGGCAGCTGTGCAGGAGAGGCAGAACTGTGGCTGACTGTGAGTTCACAGGAGCTGGCAGTGAGATGGGCCTGTCAAAGAGTTAATGAACCTTGGGCTAAAATAACCATGTGCCCAGAGCCTGGGTGGGAAGCCCTCCGACCTCACCCCCAGGACCTGTGCACCCAGCAGTTACAGGCTCAGTGCCCAGGGGAGTGCAGCTCTCGCCTGTGCCGAGAGCTCGTTGAGTCCTGTGTTTCCTCAGCTGCATGGCTCTGCTCAGTGGTTTCTCCTGAAGTTTCTGGGCAGAGCTCATGGGTTTCGAGCCCTCCCCACCCTCTGCCCGACCTGCTGTACTGTTCCCCTGTGTGCTTGTCACTGCCTGGCGGGCCGTGTTTACACCAGGATGCACGGAGGGCGGGAACTTGATGGGGCCTGGCATGCCTGCCGTGTGTGGAGATGGTCATTAAATGCTTGTGGGCTCCCAGGTGGTGCTGTCTGATGTGGCAGCCACTTGGCCACATGTAGCTACTTAAGTCTAAATTAATTAAAATGAACCAAAATTAAAAATTCAGTCCCTTTTTGGTGTTACATAGCGGGTTTGAGGGATGCTGGGGCTGATGAAGGAAAGTGATGTGACTGTGGGGTGGCAGCAGCCACGTGAGCTTCGTGGGTGACACTGATGGGTTTGCGTGTGGGGGAATCTCACGGGGGAGGGGATGAGAGAGACTCCCGGGTCAAGGCAGGTGGTCAGAGAGCTCCAAGGGCAGGAGTGGGGTGGGAGTGGCGAGGCTGTTGTATCGATGGGTAATAGCTGTCTGGTGAGGTTTCACAGAGAGTGCAAAGCAGGCAGGCTCTAAATGGCTAAGAATTTGTGTTTGAGCTATTCTTAAATTAATTGGATATGTAAAGTTGGAGTTTGGTGCTGATGGGTCTTTTGAGCTAATGTGTCTCAGCCTGCAGTGAGGAAGTAAACATCCTGGGGCCAAGCTGCTGTTTCTAAAACTTGACCCTGTGCAGAACTTTCCAAAGGAGCTGGCTGGCGGTCAGCCAGGGTGTTGATGGACTTCTTTCACTGGGGAGGGGTTTGGACCAGGTCAGCGGTGTCCGGCTGCACATCAGGCACAACTGGGGGGCTTGTACCTGCCAGACAGAATCTTGGGCCTTGTTTACAGCTGCCCCAGGGGAGGTGCCCCCTTCAGGAGCACTGGGCTGGGTGGCCTCCAAGTTCTTCTCCAGTTCTTTATACTCTGATTGTAAGAGGGGGCTGGCTGGGTCCCCGGCAAGGATGGGCCGTGTGGACATAGGCCTTTGTCCGAGTTCCAGCCACCTTTCTAGCTGTATGCAGTTGCCTTCTGTCCTGGCTGGACTCCTCGTTTTCCCCGTCGTAGTAAGGGGCAACCAGGTCTTCAAGCATGCTGCCCCAAGCTCTAAATCACATTCGTAAATTAAGATTTTCAAATGTACACAACAGTGTAGAAAAGGAGAGTTAACAACATAGAGTCCGAGCTAGATGGGAAGGATCTGTTTTATGTGGAATCGTGTTTGGCAAGGAAAAGGGAAAGGGGCTCTTTGGCCAGTGTCACCATTTTCGTTGGTGAGTTTGCACAAGGCAGCTTCCCCTGAGGAGCAGGGGCTGGGGGTAGGGGGATTACATCAGCCCCCTTTGCAGGACGGCCCGTCCTTCTTTGTGGGGGCCCTGCAGAAGGAAGGGTTTGTGCGGTGCCATGTGGCCCGCTCTTTGGGACTCCACTTTTAAAGGAACCACAGGACCAAGTCATTCCTGCCCTGCGCCCTTGCAGATGCCCTCTTGCTGTGCAGACACTGGCTGTGGCCATCATGCTGACAGACTGGGCACCGAGTGAGTGATGCATGTCCCAGCCTGTGGACGGGCGGTTTGCAGAGTTGGTCACTGACTTTGTTTACTTTCTTGACATCTTTGTTGAGATGTAATTCACATACCATCATTCACCAGTTTAGAATGTCCAATTCAGGGGTTTCTAGTTTATTCAGAGAGATTTGCAACAGTCATCACAGTCTAAGTTAAGAATATTTTCATCACCGTTAACTTTTTTGGAGGTGAAATTCACATAAAATAAAGGGAACCACCTCAGAGTGTACAGTTCAGTGATGTTTACTGTTGGGCAACCACCACTATGGTTTCAAAACTTTTCCTTATCCTATGAAACTCCTTGTTCCCATTAAGTAATCACTCCCCGTCTCCCCTCCCACCAAGTGTCCGTTAGCAGACGAGCGGATAAACGTTGGTGGTGTTGAGCTGCGGAAGGCAGGAGGTGCTGACACGTGCTGCAGCTTGGATGAAGCTGGACACGTCGTGTTGAGCTCAGGGAGCGGCTCACAGAGGCCACACCGGTAGCTCCATTTATCCGCAACGCCCAGAAGGGCAGACACAGTCAGCTTGTGCAGAGTGTTTCAAACGCTACTCCAGGCTCCAGGTCCAGGCGTCTCCTCCTGTCCTTGGCAGGTGGCGTTGCTAGCAGTGACTGTGGGCTTGGGGTCAGACCTGGCCCTCTGTCTCGTCCTCCTGGCAGTGGACAACGCGCCGGCCACCGTGCCCCATCCGCTTCCCTCATCCTGGAGCGGACGGTTCAGTTCCGCCTGGTCACCCTTCTGAGCACATTGCATGGCACCTCTTGTTTTCACCGTCTTTGTCATCACCCTTTTCAGGGCCCTTGCTCCTTGCCCCTTGCAGGCCTCTCAGGTCATGCCCGCCTGCTGTTGTGTCTGGTGGTCAGTGCTGATTTGTGCCACGTGTGCACTGCATGCTGTCTGTTCTTGTACCCTTGACCACATGAGTCAGTCACGATAGAAGAAGGCTAATGGGGTTTGGAGACCGGCCTGGGAGGGAGGGGTTGCCTGATTTTCCCTTCTTGGTCACCTGTCTTCTGCCAGGAGCCTGGCAACTCGGCGTTTCATCTGCTGGGGGTGCGTCCTCAACCCCATGTGAAAAGGGGGCTAGGAGCTAAACTCGCTTTTTGGAGGTTATTAGAGGGAAAATAGGTGCAGTTTGGGATACTCATTAGCAGAAGGGACGTGTCAAAGGTCAGCACTGTCCCCTGTGCATGAAGGTACAGGTGCACCTCAGTTCTGCTTGGAGGTGTCCCAGCTCATCAGGTACAGGTGTGCTGTCCCTCTCACTGTGGGATACAGTCAGCCCAGCTCTCTGCTGCTGCATGACAAGGTCTGCTTTCCTCCAGATCTGGTCCTTGTCCTGGCATTCTCCTGAGGTCTCACCAGCAGTGCCTTCCGTGTCCGTGTTTCAGCTCACAGTCTGTTCCTCACTTCGTCCTGAGCCCTTGCCAGCAGAGTCTTTAAGGTCCGTGTTTCTAACAACAGTCAGTTAGAGGAAATCTAGACCTTTTCTATCCTGATCCTCACGATTCTTTCCTCCTCCATCTATAGCTCGATTCCAGAGCTGCTTCCTCATTTTTAGGTACTTGTTACAGCAGCACCCCATTTCCAGGTAACAGATTTAGTTTAATCAGAAAACTGTATTAGGACTTCCCTGGTGGCTCAGTGGTTAAGAATCCGCCTGCCAATGCAGGGGACACGGGTTCGAGCCGTGGTCCGGGAAGATCCCATATGCCACGGAGCAACTAAGCCGTGTGCCACAACTACTGAGCCTGCACTCTAGAGCTGGTGAGCCGCAGCTGCTGAGCCTACATGCTACAACTACTGAAGCCCGCACGCCTAGAGCCTGTGCTCCGTAACAAAGATAAGCCACAGCAACGAGAAGCCTGTGCACCACAATGAAGAGTAGCACCCGCTCTCCGCAACTAGAGAAAGCCCGCACGCAGCAACAAAGACCCAACACAGCCAAAAATAAATAATAAAATAAAATAAATAAATTAAAAAAAAACTGTATTAGTTTTCTGTGGCCGCCATGACAAGCAACCACACACTTAATGTAAACAACACAAATTGATTCTCTCACAGTTTTGGGCTCAGGAGTCATGCACAGTCTCACTTTGCTGAAACCAGGGTATCAGCAGGGCCACCACGTTCCTCCTGGCAGCTCTAAGGACAGTCTGTTCCTCCTGTTTAGACTGAGGGCAGGATTCAAGCACTTGAGCATGCTGTCCATATGTCTGCAGGGGGCACTCTGTCATTCTTTCATTTCCAGCTACCCCCAGTAGAAGCAGAACAATTTGTTTTCTGCTTTATTTGCTTATTAAAATCATGAATGTTCAGAACCGGGTAGGACTTTGAGGTTACTCTGCTGCAAACCCCGAGTCACAGTGGGGAACTGTGGGCTTCGGGGTGCAACAGCTCACCTGAAGTGGCATGGCTGTAGTTGGGACAGTTGGGGCTGGCACCCAGGCCCCCACATTTCTGCATTCTTCATTGAAACCATCTTGTCAAAAGTCAAGTGAAACATTGCCCTCATGTCAAGTTGCTTTGTTAAGTGTGAGTCCTGATTTTTTTCAAGTCAACTTTTTTTGATAGAAAAAGATTTTCCACTTTAGGAGCTCATGATTTTAATTTGCTTTAAGTTACTCTTGATTTCAGGTGTTCAGTGAATTTGAATACGCTGATGCAAGGCAACAGTGATCCTGGGCAGTTTATTTCTTAGCAGGAGGCTTCACGTGCTCCCTGGTCCATGGGTGAGTGAGGATATGTGTGAAGATTGTTGGAGAGGAGTTTCAGTCCCCCATGGTCATTTGTCCACACGCTTCGCTAGAGGTCCCAGGGTACTGTCAGGTCTCCCCACGGCTTTCGCAGTGACGGCCTGGAGGTGTGATCTTGTAGGTTCTCTAACTGTCTGTATCTGTCAGGCTTCTCTCAGGCAGAAGAGCTGGGGTCACCTCTTGAGCTCTTAGAGGTGCAATGCCCAAAATGGTTGGGGTTGGATGCTCAGGACGTTCTGCTTCTGTTTTCTTCTTTTTTTAAAATTAATTTTATGTATTTATTTATTTATTTATTTTTGGCTGTGTTGGGTCTTCGTTGCTGCACATGGGCATTCTCTAGTTGTGGCGAGGGAGGGCTGTTGCGGTGTGTGGGTTTCTCATTGCAGTGGCTTCTCTTGTTGCAGAGCACGGGCTCTAGACGCATGGGCTTTAGTAGTTGTAGCACGTGGTTCAGTTGTTGTGGCACGTGGGTTCTAGAGCGCAGCCTCAGTAGTTGTGGCGCATGGGCTTAGTTGCTCTGTGGCACGTGGGATCTTCCCGGACCGGGGCACGAACCCACGTCCCCTGCATTGGCAGGCGGATTCTGAACCACTGCGCCACCAGAGAAGCCCAGGCGGATTCTTAACCGCTGCACCACCAGGGAAGCCCTATTTCCTTCTTGAGTTTGTCTCTGAGCGTTGCTTCTTTGAGTCCAGGCAGCCAGAGGTGGTGGCTGAGGGATGCTGTCTTCCCCGTGGATGAGGGTGGCTCCTTGCCTCAGCGCCACTCTCCCCTCTGTCACTTTGTGCCCATCAGTTCTTTGGGTTTGCCCACTTTTAACCTCTGCTAGAGGATCCAAGATACAGCTTAGCAGACTACCTTGGAAATAACTGAAAGGTTAACAAAAGAGCAAGGACATGGAGTGCACAGTGCTGACCTTTAGTCACTGACGTGGAGGTGGTGGTGGGCAGGCCAGGTGGGAGGGCTGCCCCTGCCCAGAGGGCCGAGACTGCGGCCACTCCGCCTGAGCCCTGCCCAGTGCCTTACTGTGCTTTGTCTCTGGCAGCTCCTTCAGTGGCAGAGTGTTCCGAGCCACCTTCCTGATGCTGGCTGTGTTCCTCACCGTCCCCCTGCTTGGCGCCATGATGCTGCTGGACTCTCCCATAGACCCACAGCCTCTCAGGTGAGCTGTTGCACAACTTGGGGGGCTGGGGGTGCTGCTTGACAAAATATAGTAAACGGGCTGAAATGACTTCTCGACTGATAAACCAACCTGCTCTGAAAGGTAAGTTATTATGGGAAATAGAGATCTGTGATTTCTTTAGTGTCTGTGTTTCATGTTAAGTTAGATGTTGTACAGTATTATCCACGTTATTGTTTCAAAAACAAAACTGTACAAAGCAAAATTAAAAACCAGAAAAATCCCAAACAAGAGAAGCCTAAGTATTAGAGATGATTAACCTGAATTCATTTGAAGTGTCAAAAGCACACATAACGGAGGTTAAGTTCAAGTTACCTTCTTTAAATTTTTTAAGTAACTGATTTTTTTTTTTTAAATTGATAAGTGCTGTTTGTTCAGCAGTCACAAATATGTTCGCTGGAATAAGGATTTATAAGTAGCTGATTTTTGGTAAACCTTGTAATTACTGTTCTATTTTTCCTAAGTTACCCTTTATCAGTGGGGATCTGTGGGTAATGCAGTCCGTTATAACTTGAAAAAATAGTATACACCTCAGGGTCTTGTGAATGTATTCACATTTGTAATTACAGTCACGCAGAGCCAGGCTCCTCTTGGTGTGATTATTTATGACATCAAGGGCTGTGCAGTCTGGTTCAGTAAGTTCCTGTTTCCCCTCAGAACCGCCCAGGGTGATGAGGCTGTCTGAAGTTTACTATGAGTGAGTTCATGTAAGACTTAAAAGCTTTAGATAAGAACCCTGTCTCAGTATAGAGAGAATCTAACAGGTACAACTGAATAACACGTTGGTGGTTTGTGAGTGAGAGTTGAGGCTTCATGGTGGTGTGTTGGGCGTCCTCTCCAAGGGGCTCCCTCCTGCCGACTCCCTCCCTGTGTAGAAGGATGCGGCTAAGCCTGCCCCAAAGGCAAACTGCCTGGGCCTTTCTGGATAATCCAGTTGGCCAGGCAGGAGCATGAATTGTGTCCACAGCTGGGGATCAAAACCTGGGCTGGGGAGCTGGCCTTGGAGAGAGGAGGCAGCGGGGAGCAGGTGAGCATCTGGCATCTGAGGGGACAGGGAGGGTTAGAGCTTCCATGACCGAAGACCTGTGATCTCAGTAGAGGTCATTTATTGTGCAGAGTGGTGAAGAAATTCGGGGAAAGAAGGTGTGAAGTCCTGATAGCCTGGAGGGGAGCGAGGTCAGGAAGGCTTTGAGGTTGTGCAGAATGAGCCCTGTCTATGGAGTAGATGTGCTGGGTGAGGAGAAACCCAGAGAAACCGGTGTGGCTGACGGGCCTCTCCTGGGCTCAGAGTTAGGGAATGACTGGCTCCCACATTGGGGGTGTGGGCCCCCAAAGCCAGAATGAAGGCAGAAGGCTGGCACATGGTGAGAACGGGAACGATCTGGGGTTTGGGGAAAAGTGCTGATAACAGCAGCAAACAGGACTTTTGTAAAACTCCCTTCAGAGCAAAATGAACAAGGAAGGGGGAGACCCACCGACTAGGGTGAGCGGTACAGTCTCAGTGCTGGTGGGGCTCAGCTGGCAGAGGTGTCCTGGGGGCCCTGTCTGCAGGGGATTCAGGAAAACAGAGGACAGACAGACCCAGAGGGCACAAGACCAGGGGAGACCCTTCCAGGGTGGCTTGTTATGCAGTTGGTGGCAGTCCTTAGGGAGCAGAGTCAGTGGGAAGGCTGCCAGACTTGGCCAGATCCTGCTGTGCAGAGCAGCCTTCTTTTCTTTGTTAGGAAGATTGGGGACTAGTGGACACGACATATGTGACATCCTGATTCCTGGAGGCTGTTGCTCAGTGTACGTCAGAATACATTTTACATGTGGAGAGATGGGAGCCCAGTGGTGTGGTCACCTGTGGTTGGCACGGGCGCAGGAAACTTGAATCAGCTTAGTGGTCCTCACTGCACAGGAGCGTCCGCTTGTGGAGCCAGAGGGGTTGGGTGGCTCAAAGGTTTCCTGAGCATCTCTGAGGACCCCATTGTGTCTCCCTCCTGAAGGGGTCAGGGGGCATGGGACACTGTCTCTCTGCTTCCCTTGCAGGTGTCCCGTGGGCCTTGCCTGAGTTTTATTTTTTGTGTTTCTATTTGCTCCTCATCCCTGACCACCTGTAGCATTTTGTTGCTACTATTTATTTATTATCTTTGAGTTTTACAGTTTCACTCTGCTAATAAAATGCATACTTTTGACAGTAATGGTAATAGCTTTCAGTTGCTAGAAGAATTACTATTCCTGTTGGTTTTTTAAATCATAGCTACAAAAATCTCTTCTTTAAAACACTGTGTCTTTTATGTTAAGTTTTACAGTGACTGAAAAATATGGTTTAAATATGGCAGAAACAGTCCTATCCTTTTATGAAAAATAATGTTTCTGTTCCTTTCTGGGTGGAAGCTGAGTCCTTCCACAAAGTGGTGGGTGGAGGCTGCGGTGACCACTGCTGAACTGGGGCCCATGGGCCGTGTCCTGGCCACATGCTTGTGAGACACATTCACAGCTCACAGTCGGGGGGGCATTTCCTCAGTTCCACCTCAGAAGGAAGACTAAAGAGTGATCCTGATCAAATGGAACCATGGGGAGAAACAGGATAAAATTGGAAACTGAGCATAAGTGGTGACTGAAGTTAAGGGGAGTAGCACGAGTGAATAGGAGTGTAGTGGAATAACTGAGGACATGGAAAGGAGACGTGACCCATGAGCCCCCCCGCCCCAGCAAACTGGGGGCTGGCGAATAAGCCAGAACTGCAAGCAGTCCTGATTGCTTTGAGGCCCCCCCCCCGCCCCGGCAAACTGGGGGCATGTGAATAAGCCAGAACTGTAAACAGTCCTGAATGCTTTGAGCCCACCCCCGCCCCCCCGCCCGGCAAACCGGGGGCCTGCGAAAAAGCATTGAGTGCTTTGGGCGCTGATCCATGAGAATGTCCTCAGTATAATCAGAATGGTGGGAACACAAGACAATGTCCTTGTGCTGCTTCAGTATAATCAAAATAATGGTGGGAACTTTGTGCTGCTTTTGCGCTCAAGGACGAAGCACGGCATGTTTTCAGGAAAGCCCGTTATTGCTTGTATAATCAATAAAAGCATATGTTGCTGCTTTGGCATTTCTGAAATGTTAAGAAAACAAGTCTTAAAATGTTAACATAGGTAATGCTTTAATAAAAGCTACCACAGCAGAACAGACGGCACAGTGTTGCCTGAGCAAGCAGCAGCCCTCTACTGCTGTGCTTATGTACAATTCATCTCGTGTGATGAGCTTACTTTTGGCCCTGTCATAAGAAAACTACGAGGAGTCAACAATTAACGAGTTAATGCGAGTCCATGGGACCTGGGCTGGCCCAAGGTGCTGGGCTGGGCCTCCTGGGCTGCTGTTCCCTGATGCTTCTGCGCCCAGCGGCGGGCCTGGGGGCCCTTTTTGCGTGTCCTTTGCATTTTCTCCTATGTTTTCTTGTTTCCCCGTGGAGATTACTCAGGCTCCGTGGGCACAGGGACAGCACGTGATGCACTGACTAGTTTGATGCTGCAGTCGCTCCCTGAGGACTTCCTGAGGGTAGGGACGCTCCCTGAGGACTTCCTGAGTGGAGGGAAACGGGCAGCATCCACGTGGGCAGAGGGAGGTTGAGTCTCAGGGGAGGCTCCTCTGCCCCTGCTCTGTGTGCTCGTCTGTTGTTCCGTTTACACAGGTACCTGCACCTCGGGGGGTGTGACCCAAGTGTGTTACAGGTCATGGTCCTGCTCTCCCCCTTTGGAAATAAAACTCGTTAGTTAACCCAAGAGTGTGTTTTTGAAAAGCAGGTAGAAAGCCATAATTGGGAGGCAGCAGATGGTGAAGCGGGGGGATTTAATTTGGGGGGAGTTGTGCTGTGTCTTGAGTAGGGGCAGAAGGGAGTGAAGAGTTCTGCCTGGCGGGGGATGGGGGTGGAGAGTTACCACATCACCCCCCACCCAGCCACCACCCCCCTTGGTTGTCCCACTCTGGTGGGCGAAGTGCGGGGGAAGTGGGAGCTCTCCTCGCTCCCACGGTACTCCTGGGAGCCTCCTGGGTGCCAGGTGTTCAGGATACAACAGGGAAAAAACACAGCAAATCCCTGATCTTGTGTGTTCTTGTGGGCACAGACAGTCAACATAGAGAAGTGAGAGCTGAAAAGTGCTGCCAACGGAGTCGAGTGGGGTGGGGTCTGTGCTTCTGGGGGCGGTGTTGGACGCTAAATTGGGTGGTGGGAGCAGGCTTCACTGAGAAGGTGATGGAGAGGAGGCAGCAGACTTAGGATGGGAGGTGCCCGGTGCCCTCAGGGACCAGCAGGGAGGCAGAGTGAGGGGAGGAGAGGAGGCTGTGGCCGGGCTTGAGGGCGAGGAGCTCGTGGAAGACCTTGGCTCCAGGGGAGAGGGCCCGTCGCAGGGGTTTGAGGGGCAGATGCCGTGATCTGACTGTGTTTCCCAAGGTGCAGGTGGGCTGCTGGGTTGCGAGCAGACTGTGGGGGACAAGGGAGGAGGTGGGGAGGGAAGATGGTGGTGTGGACCAGGCTGGCAGCAGAGGACCTGACTTGTACAGGTGGCATCAGCAAGAGTTGCTGACGGGTTGGGAGAAATGGCGTATTTGCCTGTGTATGGAGAGGGGAGAGCTCCTGGGGCTGCTTCTGCGTGCAGGGAGGGGTCCAGGCCAGAGGGAGCTGGGGGGCCCCCGAGAGTGACAGGCGGGAGACAGGTGTGCGTGTGCGGACGCTGGGGCTGTGGCGCCAGGCCCAGCCATCTTCTGTCCCCTCTGGAGTGGGAGGTGAGGCTGTCACTGTGGAATGTCCACTCCGCTCTCTCTGTCTCAGCTGGATCCGGATGGCCTGGCAGCCCAGGGGAGAATAAAGGCCTGGGTGTGTGAACCGCACGGTGGAGCAGGTTGGATGGGTGGGCGGAGGCCAGGTGACCTCTGGTGGCTGCGCCTGTGGAGTTCTTGCATCAGCCACGCTTACCTTCTCAGTTCTCTCTTGTGCTGTGACCTTGCCTGATATCCCAGGAAATTCTTTTTCTTAACTTGTGCTTCTGGCAACTAAGGATGTTATTGGAACATGTGCGCTTTGTCAAAGAATGGGGAGTTATGCCTGTAGGTCCTTGTAGGTCCTCCGTAAATACTCTCTTCATGTACTTTTATAGACAAATCCCTATAATTGCGTTATTTTACAGCTTCAAAGAACCCCCGCTCTTGCTTGGTGTCCTGCAACCAAATACGAAGTTACGACAGGCGGAAAGGCTTTTTGAAAATCAGCTTGTTGGGCCAGAGTCCATAGCACATATCGGGGGTAAGTAGACCCCTGGGACTTGGCGCTGTCTGTTGCCTGAGTGGGGTCCTGTGGGGGCAGCTCCGTGGGGAGCCCCGGGCAGCCTTCTTGGCTGCGGTCGTGCGCGTGTTTGTCTACCAGATGCCCTGCGGGAGCCTCTCACCTCTCCGAGTTGCAGGCCATTTTAGTGCTGGGTGATTTTGAGTTCATGTCTGTGAAGCATTTTATTCTGCTCAAACTGTTGGACCCTTTAAAATGAAAGGAAAAAGGAAAAAATGTGGACAAACATTGGTGTTCAGTTCATTTATCACATTGGGTAGGTGTTACTTGATAGGACGTTCCTAGCACAGATTGTCTTTGTGTAGATTTCATTTTTGAAAAGAACAGGAACCATTCTCAATATTTCCACTTTTTTTTAAAGCTCCCTTTGGTGGGTACATTTTAGGGTAACCATCTGCTTCAAACTTGCCCAAACCTAAGAACTGGAATAGGGTCTGGTTCTAATTCTCGAGTCTGTAGCAACCTGGAACAGGTCTTTTCTGTCTGTTAGAATGAGAATTAAACTCAGGAATCAAAAAATATAGTTAATGAAAAGGTTGCCGAGGGTTGAGATGTGAGGATTTCCCAGCCACTTCTTACCTCTGCTCACTGGCCGTCTTTCCAAAGCACGGTGGAACGGCTGTGGGCATGGGCGGCCAGTGTGCTTCTGTTTCCTTCTGAAGGCCTGTCAGGCCCACGCCTCCACCTCTGTTGCTGTGGACCAGCCCCTCTTTCCCAGCCCTACTGTTTGGCTGGCCCGAGGACTGAGTGTTTCTGCAGTTGGTGGTTGCTCTTGGCAAAGTCAGAATTGTTCAGGAGGGATGGGCACTTCGTGATAGAGCTTCATGTTTCTCTTAAAAACATTTTCATGTTTATTAATTTCACAGACTTTGTGTTTTTGGTTAAAAAAACTCAGTATTAACATTTAAAACGGGAACTTTGAGGAGTTATAGTGATTTTTAAAAAAATCTCTCAGAGGATGCTTTTCTTGTCTTTTCTACTTGGCCTGATGCCTCATCTTGCTCTCTCATCACGCCTCCCTTTTCTCTCTTAAATGAGCTGCTTGTCCTTTGGTGATATTTCTGGTTATCCCCTGCAGGTGTGAACCACACAAAGGCCCTGGGGACCCACTGCTGCTGACAGTGGAGGGAGGCACTAGCCTCAGGAGTTGCCGATAAACATCCTTTAATTTTTTAAATAGACTTTATGTTTTAGAGCAGTTTTGGGGTCACAGCAAAATTGAGGGGAAGGTACAGAGATTTACCTTATATCCCCTACCCCCTACTTTCCCCATTATTATTATTTTTTAAAATTTATTTTATTTGTTTATTTTTGGCTGCATTGGGTCTTCGGTTGCTGTGCGCGGGCTTTTCTCTAGTTGCGTTGAGCGGGGGCTACTCTTCGTGCGGTATGTGGGCTTCTCATCCCAGTGGCTTCTCTTGTTGTGGAGCACGGGCTCTAGGCGCGGGGGCTTCAGTAGTTGTAGCATGTGGGCTCAGTAGTTGTGGCTTGCGAGCTCTAGAGTGCAGGCTCAAGTTGTGGTGCACGGGCTTAGTTGCTCCGCGGCATGTGGGATCTTCCTGGACCAGGGCTTGAACCTGTGTCCTGTGCATTGGCAGGCGGATTCTTAACCACTGTGCCACCAGGGAAGCCCCTTGCCCTGTTATTTAACATCTCCCATAAGATGGTACATTTGTTATAATTGATGACCCTCCATTGACACATCATCATCACCAGATTCCACAGTTTACATTAGGGTTCACTCTTGGTGTGTACGTTCTATGGGTTTGGACAAATGTTTAATGACATGCATCCATCATTATAGTATCATACAGAGAATTTTTACTGCCTCTCCAGAAATCCTCTGTGCTCCACCTCTTCATCCCTTTCTGCCCCCAGCCTCTGGCAACCACTGATCTGTTTCCTGTCTCCTTAGTTTTGCCTTTTCCAAATGTCTTAGAGTTAGAATTATACAGCATATAGTCTTTTCAGATTGACTTCTTTCACTTACTGATACGCATTTAAGGTTCCTCCATGTCTTTTCACGGCTTTATAGCTCATTCCTTTTTGTTGCTGAATAATATTCCGTTGTCTGGATGTAGCATAGTTTATTTTTCCATTCACGTACTGGAGGACATTTTGGTTGTTTCCAAGGTTTGGAAATTATAAATAAACCTGCTGTAAGCATCTGTGTGCAAATTATTTCGTGGAAATAATTGCTGGATCATATAATAAGAGTATGTTTAGTTTCATAAGAAACTGCCAAACTGTCTTTCAAAGTGGCTGTACCATTTTTCATTCCCCCCGAGCAATGAATGAGAATTCCTGTTGCTCCAGATCCTCATCAGCATTTGGTGTTGTCAGTGTTCTGGATTTTGGCCATTTTAATAGGTGTGAAGTGGTATCTCATGGCTGTTTTAATTTGCAATTTCCTGCTG